AGAGGACAACAGCTGCACAGACTGCCGCAAAGGAGTTCTCAGATGCTGGGCGGTCAGACCTCAAGGAGAGTGAGGATGCGCAGATTGCTATCATGGACGAATATGCTGGCAGTGTGCAGACCATGGGCAAGGAGGAGATTAAGGATGTCGTCACGAGAACGGTCGACCAGCTGAGGGGCACGGGCGGCAAAGTCCCAGCCGGCGAAGTCATGAAGAGGCTACTTGCTCCAGGTGGTGATCTTGATGGAAAGAATGTGGAGAAGGCAGAGGTTGCAAAAGCTGTCAAGGAAGTGCTGGCCCAACAGTGACGGAGCAACTCGAAGATACCTCAGCTGCAGTACTGGGGCCACTCAGTTCCTGCCCTGAGCTGCGTCGAGTCTCTTGCCCTTTTCAGCAGTTCGGGAAGAATTCTCAGTCGTCTTTGCCGAAACGAGTTCAATCGACACTGTCTTTCGAACAGGTGCGTCACTTCAGTTTTCCCGACCCTAGCCAATACTCACTTCACAAGGCTGTACATCCTGCTACACTACGTGGCCATCCACAACCTTATAGAACCCTGTTTTACTGTGTACTGTAAGAGTAGCTCGAGTGTTTTGTACAATAAGTTCTATCCATTCGAGTACTTCCGTAGCGGCCAACGAAGTGGAACCTGACGAGCCCTCAACAGTTGGAGTTAACACTTGTGGCAAGGCAACAGCAACATTACTATACCTACAACTGCAGTGTTAACGATATGGGTTACTCGCCTCTTGCGGGAAGCTGCAACAGAGAGACACCGGAACCCTAATACAACAGTCGTCTCAATCGACTTCTGACTTGCAATAGCAACAAATGAGCTGTTTCGCCTAATTGCTGAGCAGTGTTCAGCCCTTGGGGAGGGGTTCTAGCCCGGGAACACAGTCTGGCTTTCTCTAGTTCTGTTTGGCCCGCAGTTGCTCCAAAAGCCTTGCTCCTGTCACAATTGGTCGCGCAGCCTGGAGTACTATTTCATCCTAGCGACATTGGGGAGCGAGCAACTGCCAGCAATAGCTCGGGTTTCACTCGCGCTTCGTTTCCGCTCCATTCCGACTCCACTTGAACTTCATTCAAGCTTCGCTCAGAATTGTTCGCTTCCTAATACTAGTGCAGCAAAGTAGTACTGAGCTACTGGAGTGTGCATGCAAAGGGTGCAGCCTCCTCCGTCACAGAGCAGGAAGTTGCTAGGTTCCCCTGGACCGCTATTGGAAGCACGAAGAACGAAGTGTTCGACGCTACCGGCGCGAGGTCTGCTTCAACTCTTTCATTTGCTCGTTGTGGATGACTCGATTTCAATGCCATCAAAAGCCGCGGCTACACAGGCATCGGCGACATCTCCGTGGAGGTGCAAAGCGACAACAGCTTCGTCCCAGCCTATGCTCTGTGCCGGGATATGGCAGTTCCGAACAATGTTGAGAACAAACAGCTTCCCCTGGATCGAGCATGCTCTGGTTCAACGTTAGTAACAGTTATGTGCAATGACAGGAACATGCGTTCATGCCTCCCCACATTTTCTCCGCTATTTCCTCGTTAGCTCTTGGACCAGTTTCATCACCCGCAAAAGACGAATTTGAAGGGTCCAATCCGCTCGATTACACTGGCAAGAGTTGTGAGAGTTGCAAACGCGCTGTTGCTTTCGTGGAATCCTCTGGATTAGCCATGCAAAAGTCGGTGGGCTGTTGAACACGTCCCCAAGGCAACACTGCATGTTGAAAATCATACTCGAAAGCCTGGCCCAGTTTTCTAGCCTCTGTGGTGCTTCTTACCTCTTGGGCCTTGTACATGCCGCCGTGTGACTGTTAGCGGTAGACCGCGTGCGAAGCGGCGTATTGCAACCCTTCTCTGCCGTCCACGCCGGATACGAGCAGTACCAAGCAGATTCAACGAACATGACGCACGTTTCTAAGAACTTTAGGAGCTGGCTGGTTGAGGCGGAAGAACTGCCTCAAGCCTTACGTACCTGGACCCACGCGGCCCCAGATTTCTTAGCGTGCTTCTCCACGTTCCTAGAATAGCATCTCGACATGACTGGCTGCGTACCTGGCTTTCGATCCACACTCAGCCCACCCTCAGGGCGGATCACTGGCAAGTCTCGGATGGCTTCCAGGAACAGAATTACAATCAGCATCCGCGCCATGTACGCGCATGTACCGGTTCCATCGTTGAGCTTGCATCGATTGAGGTACCTGAACATCACCGATCGGACCCGAAAACCATGTTTCCCATCATGGTGGATCCCTTGTCGAACGTGCCACCGCTCACGACGTGGCCATGCTCCTGCACTGGTGCCGCTGCAACGGTTCCGGGTCGAACCTACCTTGTACGGAGAGCAGCCTGCAGAGCTGCAGAGCGGAGCTCAAGCTCACAACTTGCCTGCCACCCGATTGCCTCCTCAACGACATGAGCTGGACGACAGTCGTCATTGCTCTGCCATCGTGCGTCCCCGTCCGTTACCGGCAGCGCCGAGCTGTTTCTACAGGATGCATATAAGTGAAGTACCTCCTCCCCGTTTGCCGTGTCCATCTCATCACCAACTCATCTCGTCCATTCACTTCTTCTCCATTTTCTCCATCTTCTCTCGTTTGCTCGAACCAGAAGATGAAGGCTGTCTACGCACCTTTGGGCTTCGCCCTCACCGCTTCTGCTGCCATCCTCCGTAGGGATCAGTGCTGCTTCTCGCTCACTGCTTCTGGAGGTCAGTCTGGCACCGTCGGCCAGCTCTCTGACGGCCAGAACCGTGTTGGAGACAACAGCCTCTCTGCCGGCTCCTACTGCATCAACGACGGTGCCATCACCGATGGTCAGGGCCGCGGCTGCATTCTCACAAGCCCAACAACTCAGTTCCAGTGCGATACTGGCGCTACCGGTATGTTCAGCGTATGCCAGTGCGATGGTTGTCGCTAACGTTGACCGCAGCACAAAGCGGCTTCTCTGTTAACAGCAACGGTGACCTCGCCTACAACGGTAACACTCAGTTCCAGGTTTGCCCAACTGGTCAGAACGGCGGCTACAACATCTACACCGCTGCGCCCTCCGGCCAGCAGGGATGTTCTTCCGTCACTCTGAGCACTGGCGGTAAGTGCGCTTCTGGCTCTGGCGGCGCATCTTCTGCTGCACAGTCCAGCAGTGCTGCCTCCTCTGCGGCTCAGTCCTCTACTGCCCAGTCCCCCGCTGGATCCTCGGCTGCTCAGTCTTCTCCAGCTGCTTCTCAGGCCAGCTCTGCCGGTTCCCAGGCCCCATCTGCGCCTGCTTCTCAGTCAGCGCAGACCTCCGCCCCTGGCGCGTCTGCCTCTTCCGCTCCAGGTGCCCCAGCTTCTTCGGCTTCAAGCGCTCCTGCCTCGTCCGTTCCAGGTGCCAGCCAGAGCACTGCACCAGGCACATGCCAGCCAAGCACTGTAACCCAGACCCAGACCGTCACTGTCACCGTTCCAGCTCAGGGTGGCGCTTCCCAAGGCGGAGCTTGCCCAGCTTCTTGCGTCAGCACTGTCACCCAACCTGCTGCTAGCACTCCATCCGCTCCAGGATCTAGCGCTCCAGTTGTTCCAGCTTCCTCTGCTCCGGGTGCTTCAGCTTCTTCCGCTCCAGGCGCACCAAGCTCCTCTGCCCCAGGCGTTCCGACTACTTCGGCCCCAGGTGTTCCTGCCTCGTCTGCCCCAGCTTCGTCCCAGTCAGCTTCTTCTGCTCCTGGCAAGCCCTCCGGCTACGGTCCATCTAGCCACCCTACCGCTGCCCCATCTGGTTCCGCTCCAGCAGGCTCCCAGCCAGCTTCTAGCGCTCCAGGTGCTTCCGCCTCAGCATCCTCCAGCGCGCCAGCATCGAGCGCCGCACAAAGCTCCGCTGCGCCTTCAGGCACTGCTTCATCTCAGGCCTCTGGTAGCGCCTGCCAGACTTCTCTGACCGGTGCTTACGAGACCCCACACCTCATCGTCCCAGTCGACTCCTCCCAGCCCGACAAGGCCGAGGGCACCCAGTACAACGCTACCATCAGCCAGACCAAGTCGACCATCTTCAACTTTGACATCCCGAGCTCGTACTCCGGCAAGCAGTGCTCCCTGATCTTCCTGTTCCCACAGCAGAGTCAACTCGAGACCTCCGGCTTCACTCAGTCCGGCTCCGGTGGTCTGACCTTCACCAAACTGAACAACATTGCTTCTCAGTCCACCACCTACGGCAACGTCGGTCAAGGCCAGCAGATCGGCTCCATCAGCAGTGTCAGTCCCGGTAACAGCTACGTCGTCAGCACTGGTGCTTGCGCTGCCGGTCAGACCGAGAGCATCGAAGTCAGCTCTACCAACGGTTACGAGCTCGAGTTCTTCGAGGACTGGAACCCCAGCCCGATCGGAGTCTTCATCACTTCCTGCTAAACGTTTCGCCTCGAAACTAGCAATTGTATTCTGGTCTGTCGGAAGTACCTCTCACCATGTGCAATTGCACGTTGTGAAGGCTTTATGACGTAGGACCGATGCACTGTCATAGTACATCAGAAGGGGTTGTGGAGGAAAAGTGTAACGATTTATTACGACGGCTAGCATTCACTCATTTCTCTAGAAGCATCGCTAGTCGATTGCCAGATCTTCTTCTATGTTTCTCTTATGTAGCTGGGTTAATATACAAATTGATACCTACTTGTTTACATGATCTGTTATACGTCTCTCTCTCTCTCACAGACCTTCTTGACCGCACACAAGACACGTAGCCGGTGATTCGTGTTTCTTCAACTTGGTGACTGTAAGCATGTCCGCAAACACGGTTCCGTGTACCGCCTTTGCTCCAAACCCAACAAATCCGCCAAGTTGCTCACTAGAGCAAGTGGTCCAAGGCGACGATAGCAGAGGTGCTAAGAAGCAGCGTGACAACAAACTTTCGTTATGACTGAACATATACCAGGTCTCCAGATGTTCTCACATAGACGATATAAGCATCTCGACATGCTCGAAGTGGTTGACGTGTTATAAATTTTATATGCATTCACACATCACGTGATGGGAGCGGTAGCTCAGTGGTAGAGTATGGGATTGCAGTCAAAAGCACCGCAATATCATCCTATGGTCCCGTGTTCGAACCACGGTCGCTCCTCTTTGCTTGTGGACGCTCCTTTCTAGCATACGCAAAGCGTGGGAATGACCGACGCAAAAGCAATGTCCGCCCATCTCGCTCTCCCTCCACTCTGGTGCTTTGAGTGCTGTGTACTTGTATTGTAGTTTGCTTCCGCCATTAACCACAAACAAGACGAAACTTTGGTGATCCGGAGACATCAACGCAAGCACGTCGATCTTAGTCTGCCTTGTGTCCTCGGCGATAGTTTTAGCGATAGTCTTTTTGTTTCCAATAGCCAGTCGTGTGTTCTGGCAGCAGATAGTCCAGGCTTGGCAGCCCTCCACAGCCAGCTTCTCCATCGCCTTAGTCAGCGACTCGGAACATCAACTCACGGAACCACCGACCCTCACAGCAGACCAGCAGTGACAGTACCTCACACTCAGTCAATCCACCATGTCGTCCGGTTACGGTCTTGATGGCGGTACGTCGCGTCCCTTCCTGCGCGAAACCAGATCATCAATCTGCCTGACAGCGGCACACGAATCGCCTCGCGGACTGCGCAAAGACTGACAAGCTACGAACCGCAGGTCCCAGCCGTTGCTTTCCCTACTGGCAAGAGATGCTCGCCTGCTACGTCGTAAACACCAGCTCCGACGACCTCTCCGGGCGCAAGAAGTGCGTGCCCATGCTCGAGGATTACTATGAATGCCTGCACCACCGGAAAGAGGTGCGTCCGTTCCTTCCCCCTCCCCCTTTCCAATTCCCAATTCCAATTCCCAATCCCCGAGGGGGTGTTTTAGCCCATTGGAAAAGAAAAAATCCGCAAAAGACATTGGATTTTGAGCAGGGGAAAAGACTGCGCATCGGAAGCGGCTGCGCGATCACAGTGTGGAATGGATAAACGTTGTCTGGAGGTGCGCACGGGCTGATAAGGAGAGGACAGGCCGCTAGAGTCCGCGCCCTGCAGGCCGCATACAGGAAACAGCAGGCCGCTACTCCTCGCGAGGACGCGCCCAATGCCGGCCAGATCAGGGGTCTGGGATTGTTGGACGCGAGCGATGAGGAGAAGAACATCCACCCAGCTAAGATTGTGCCAAAGGTGGAGAGCAACAAGATCGCATAGACACCCTTTTTCGACGGATTGATGAACGGCACTGGAAGCCCGCGTCAAGGCTCAAGCAAGGGAGGTTTGAGAAGCGAGGACGAAAAAGGCCGACAAATACGCCACGATCTGGTGTAAGAAAGAAGGCAGAAAGGACACACTAAGGCGTATCGGAATCAAAACCCGCCAACTAGAGCGAGGTTGTACTATTGTACATGTTGCATCTATTCCCACCAAACCATTGTTTTTAAACCCCTCCCCCCCCGCTTCTTCTCCCCCGCTTCAAAATACCTTCTTCAGCCCTCCGTACCCATCAACCCCAAACACCCCAAACCTGCCCGCCCGTCCCCCGACCCGATCCTGCAGAACCTCGACAACGTTGACCCATTCCGCCTGCCCTTTCCCGCCCGGCCCACTCCTCGCATTCCCATACACGGCCATGGCATCCCTCTCCGTCTTCGGCACCCGACTCACAAACAGGTGCGTATCCACGAGATAAGGAAACGTTTTGCCCAGTGCGGGTTGCGCGGTCGTGGACGCGAAGATCGAAGGCGGGTCCTGCGCGTTTCGGTACGTGACTGCGGTGTTGAGCAGGATGGTGCTGAGGTTGTGGGCGCGGTTGAGATTTCGCATGAAGGTGGTTAGGAGGGCTTGGCCTAAATGACGGGGTGAGTGGGTGGTGGATGATGGATGATGGATGATGGATGATGGATGATGGATACATGGATGGATGGAGAGAGAACGGAATGGGACGAGGGAGGAAGTGAGGATGGAGCATGTGGCGATGGGAAGGAAGGGTGGGGTGGAAAGCGGCAATTTGGTACCTTGTACGTAGTTGTTCTTGAGTAATGGTGCGACGATCTGGGTCAAGTTGTCTATCACCAGCATTCCGTACCCGTCCCGCTGCGGAGGCGTAAAAGCTGGCTTCATGCTCGCCCCTGCTGCTGCTGCAGGAAGCGGATTAGCCAGCTCGTCTAGCATCTCGTCTTGGTCCTTGGTGACGGCGGTTCCCTTCGCTGCTTCCTGAACCGTCTCCGTCTCGTCGTCAGGTCCGCTCGCACCGAGCGTGTCCGGTCGATCCCTGATCTCGTCGATGCACTCCAGCATGCCCTCGAAGTCGAACACGCGCATTATCTTGACTCGGTCGAGCAGGCGTGCTGCGCGCTCGCTCAAGTCCTCCATGGGTTGCCGAGCCCGCGCTTGTGCATGTGCCTGTGCTGTGCGGTCCCGCGTCTCCAAACGCGAAGCGATGCTTCTGTGTAGACTCAGGACGTCGAACGCGCCCAGAGTGTCTATCACACTGACCCCATTGAGCGTCGCGTCTCCCTCCCCCTCCTCCTCTTCCAAGAGATGGGAAACGAGCAGTTGTTGGCAGATCTGAACCCTTCCGATCAACCATCTGTCAGAAACAAATGAATAGAAGAACGTATATCTCAGGAAACACCGCTCTCTTGATATCTATCATCCACGAGCCCTCGACCTCGCGTTCCTCAGCCCCCACGATACGAGAACCATCCCACCGGGAATCGGGATGTGGCGTGCGAAAGAAAAAAAGAAAGAGGGGGGAAGGTGTCTTCCATAAAGGGGATAAAAGCGAGCCACACATACCTCCTGCGCCCCGCGACCCGTCTCGCCGCTGATGCAGCAAATCCCTCCGTCTCCGTACACCAGCCCGTCTCCGAGCACATGATCGACGGGTGCGCAACCGGTCAGAAGGCGTCTTCGCTTCGGCGATGGTGCGCCTTCCGTGTCAGGCAGCTGGGTCGCGACCGCATCGTACAGGGTCGAAGCTAGGATGGGTTCTGCTGCGGACGCCATTGTGCGCTGGACTTGTTCGGTGTGCGACGGACTGGACTCGAACAACAACAGCGACAATGGGAGAAGGGGACAAGAGGGTGCTTAGACGTTGGAGTAAGGGCTTCGTATGAAGGATTGAAAACAGCGGGAACGGGCGTTTCTGCGGTGCTGGGCGGCCTCCTCCAACCGCTCCGGCACCTCCTCCAGTGAGCTTGAAGTCGGTTTGGAAGGCAATGGGAATGTCGTCTTTTACAGATGAATCCTCTCCAGCGTTGTGATGACCACCCTGCTGTTGCTGCCGCTGCTGCTAGCTTGCCGTATTCTGGAACATCGTAGGGGAGACAACCTCTGGATAGCTTGCACGACGTCTAATAGCACCTTGACTCCGTTCACAGTACATGACATGTATATACATACCAATGCACCCGAGCCGCGTGTCTATGCCGCTGCCTCTCCTAACAGTAGAACGAGCGGAAGTTTGTGCACAACAAAGCCATCATTGTTACTTTAGTCAATCGTTTTCATGTCGACCACACCAGCAAAAGCAGACCTGCAAACGCCGACGTCTATCTCGCCATGAACGCCCTACCGCCGTCTGGTGCACCGCCAACGGGCCCATGTCAACCTATCAAGTGCCCCGTTTTCTGAGCCCAATCCCTGAAAATTGAAAAAAGAATCCTCAACCCATCCATCCAATCCGCCCGTTTTGCCCTGTAGCGACAGAATGCTCTGATACAAAGAGATGTCGCCGCTGTATAGTCTGGGGTTTCTGTCCGCGCAGAACAAAAAACATGAGAAGAGATGAGCTTGTCAACTCCCCAGAAGCCCAGATCCAATGCCGACTGGTCAAAACGGTCACTCCTGCGCTTTCCCTAACCGGCCCTCTGCTCCGGCCGCGGCCGTCTCCCGCCCTTCAGACTCCTCATCCTGTTCAAGAAGCCGCCGGCCGGCTTGCCCTCGTCTCTTGGCGGTGGTGGCGGAGCCGCATATGTCGAAGAGTCTGCAGTGACGCTCCTAGTCAATCCGGCACCGTTTGGGGAACCCGGCGCTCTCGCCCCCGTCGGACGGTCTGCCTCTGCGATCTTGATCTGGGTACCCTTCTTCTCGTACGCGTCGTCGTAGTTGTTGAAGAAGGGGTTCCTTTCTTGGCCTGGCCCGTATCTGGCGCGGACCGGTCCTCCGGCACTCACCGGGCCTGCGGGAGGGGTGTCGGGCGATCGAGGTCCGTAGCGTGCCTCTGGGGACGTGACGCGTCCGCCGCCGTAGTCATTCATGCGGCGGGACTGTGACATGCCACGGATACGCATGGCAAGAGACTTCTTGCGGGTCAGACCTTCTGCCGCTGACTGTGCGTTCTCCGACTCGCTACGCTGGACGGCCACCCGGGAAGCTGGTGCGCCCTCGAGGTGGGTGCTAGTGCCGAGACCATAGGTTTCTTCGCCGTGGACGGGCTCTACGCGATCAGTGGGGTTGAAGCTCAATTGGCGGGTCGTCTTCTGAGGACGTGGCGGAAGCTCGCTGTCAAAAGTACCAGTACCGGATCCGGCGAAGTCGTTGAATGCATCCTCGCCGCGACCGTGGAATCTGTCGACATCGATCTTGGCGTTCAGAGGGCCAGAACCGCCGATTGCGTTGTTCGCGGACCCAACAGGGAAAGCCTGCATGGGTGCTTTGGAATCCTTCTTGCGGTTGCGGTGGGGATTGCAAGCGTCGAATGGGCCGTCGTGGTGGATCACTGCGGTTTTCCATGTCAGCAACCCATAACCTTTCTGAACCGGCTGAACTCTCAATCAACATACTTCCTTGTCCATAGATACCAGTAACGTCCAACTTGTCGATAATGTCCAATCCGCGAGGCTTCCTCGATGGCTTTGACTTGTCGTCTCTTGGCCTTCCTTCTCGGTCACGGCCACTGCGGGCCTCTCTTTCTCTGCGCCTCTCCCGTCTTCGCCTGTCCTCTTCAGCGCGGTCTCTTTCCATAGCTGACGACTCAGAGTTTCTACGGGGACGTCTGTTCTCCGCTTTTGCGGGCTTGCAAAGATGCCAAGCTCTCCTGTTGGTGGTCCCCTGGGCCTTGGCGGCCCTCTGGGTGGAGCGGGGCCGCGACGCATGTCTTCATCCCGGGATCTTGATGGACGGT